CATCTCCGTTGTTCACCCTGGTCTCCAATGCGTCGGCTCTGTGCTGGGGAGCCAATCTGGGCGAGCTCAACCCCCAGGGCCTCTGGCTACAACACGAGCTAGGCCTTCATATCAATGTCAGGAAACACAGAGCAATTCACCTGGCCTGCCAGGCTTTCCTACCCCACCTGGAAGGCAAGGTGGTGCAGGTCCTGACAGACAATACTGCTGCGATGAATTACATCAACAGGCAGGGTGGCGCCTCTGGGACTTTTGTGTGTCATGCCATTCATTTGGTAGCCACCCACCTGCCTGGAACCAAGAATCTGCGTACAGATCACCTCATCAGGACCTTCTCGTCTCTCCAGAAATGGTCGCTCCATCCGGAGGTGGTCAGCCTAGGTTTCCACAGGTGGGGAACTCCCTGGGTGAACCTGTTCACATCCAGGCAGAACAGAAAGTGCCACGTGTTCTGTTCTCTGCTGGGCAGAGACAAGGGCTACCTGTTGGATGCCTTCCTGATGCTGTGGTCAGGAGCGCTAATGTACGCCTTCCTGCCAATACCATTAATCCACAAGTTTCTGCTAAAGGTAAAGCAAGACAAAGCGACGGTCATCCTCAAAGCCCCAGCGTGGCCTCATCAACACTGGTTTGGCATGCTGCTGAGTCTTTTGGCACCCACCCTGCTGCAGCTGCCTCTTCAGCCGGATCTGCTGTCCCAGAACCATAGCGCTCTACTGCATCCAAACCTGGCGGCGCTGCACTTGACCATCTGGCTACTGGGTGGCTAAGTGGGGAAGAATGCTGGTGTTCCGCTGGTGTCCGCAGGAAACCCTCCACCAGGGCTACCTACGTTGCAAAGTGGAAGCGATATTCGTGTTGGGCCTTGGATCTTCACGTTCATGAGGAAGAGGTCCCACTGCAGGACATCCTGGACTATTTGCTGCACCTTAAGCTCCAGGGGCTGTCGCTATCTTCAGTCAAGGTACATCTTGCGGCCATTTCAGCCTTCTGCCCTCTGTTTCAAAGCAGGTCGGACTTTGCCCATCCCATGACGGCGCAGTTCCTGAAAGGTCTGGAGCACCTTTACCTGCATGTCCGGGACCTGGTACCATCTTGGGACCTGAATCTTGTGTTGTCAAGGCTCATGGGGCCCACCTTCAAGCCCTTTGCTTCCTGCTCCCTCCTGCTTCTCTCCTGCAAAGTCTCCTTTTTGGTTGCCATAACTTTGGCCCATAGGGTGTCCGAGATCAGGGTGCTCATGTCAGAACCACCTTATACGATCTTCTATAAGGACAAGGTCCAGCTGCATTTGCACCCGGCATTTCTGCCCAAAGTTATCTCCCAGTTCCATACTGGTCAAGACATCAACAGGCCTTTGTCCAAAGCCTCATACAACTGATGAGGAATGCAGGCTGCATACCCAGACGGGCACTGGCCTTCTACATAGAACAAAGCCGTTCTGTAAGTCTAAGCAGTTGTTTGTTGCTGTCGCGGTCAGGACGAATGGTTGCCCAGTGTCTACCCAGAGAATCTGGTCCTGGATCATGGCCTGCATCCGCTACTGCTATGAGCTGGCGAAGGTGCCCCCACTAGCGATCGTGACGGCTCACTCGACTAGGGCACAGGCGTCATCACCGGCCTTCCTTGCTCAGGTGCCAATCCAAGAAATTTGCCGTGCCGCAACCTGGTCATCCGTCCACATGTTTGCTTCGCACTGTGTGCTGACCCAGCAAGCTCAAGATGATGCTGGTTTCAGCAGAGCAGTACTCCAGTCTACAAGACCATGAACTCCGAGCCCACCTCCAGGTATTCTGCTTGTGAGTCACCTACAATGGAATCGACATGAGCAAGCACTTGAAGAAGAAAAAACGATTACCCACCTTTTGTAACAGTTGTTCTTCGAGATGTGTTGCTCGTGTCCATTCCATTACCCTCCCTCCTGCCCCTCTGTCGGAGTTGTCGGCAAGAAGAAACTGAGAGGACTCAGGACTGGTGGCACCTGATATACTGCTGCACGAGCGCGGTACTTCAGAGGGTGCCACAGCCAGCCCTACGGATACCGCTAAGGCAGCAGTTCTCAAACAGTGGGTCAGGACCCCAAAGTAGGTTGTGACCCCATTTTAATGGGGTCGCCAGGACTGGTGTTAGACTTTCTGTGCTCTCGGGGCCAAAGTTTGAGCCCCACCACCCAGGCCAAAATTTGAGCTCTACCACCCAGGGCCAAAGCCCAAAGGCTTTAGCCTTGGGTGACAGGGCTCCGGTTACAGACCCCCCCACCTGGGGCTGAAGCTCTTGGGCTTGGGCTTTGGCCCCGCCCCGCCTGGGGCGGGCTCAGGCTTCGGTCCCCTCTTGTGGGGTCATGTAGGAATTTTTGTTGTCCGAAGGGGGGTGCGGTGCAATGAAGTTTGAGGTCCCCTGCGCTAGGGCAAAAGTCTGCAGCGACCACACACGTGGGCGCATGCACACCTACAATGGAATGGACATGAGCAACACATCTTGACGAACAACCGTTTCAAAAGGTGGGTAATCGTGTTTTCTCCTTCACCATTCAGTCCTGCACTACTAATAGATACCAATATTTACCTGACACATCAGAGCTAGAAATGGGAGTTTTATACTATTAGAAAAGGAAATTTCCCTGCTTTCCAGTGAAATGCAAGTAACTTGCTTCTAGCCCTGGAAAGTCCTTAAAATATGCTACAATATGTTGTAGCATATTTTAAGGACTTAAGTTACTTAAGAATGTTTTCAGAGGTTTCTAAAATATAGGAGTTATTTCTGGTTTCTGTTCTCTGGGACCTGTACAATCAAACTCTTGGTATTAAGGATGTCTGGCTTATAGGTATGAGAAATGAAAAATAATATCAATAAAACATGCTAAAATTATTTCTAAATTATTCATCCCACTCATTTGGGATGAATTACACATTTCATGCATGTTGTTGCCTTTTGGAGCCAATACGACCATGCCAAACTCTCATTAAAAAGAAAAAAAACCCAAACCTCTAACATACCATTCCATTATGTTGATGTGGTCATGTTCCATGCAAGTGTGTGTGTGTGAGAGAGAGAGATTTTTTTTTCTATGACATTTTGTTTTAGAGACTTACTCGGAGACTTTTAGTCTGCAGAAACAGGTACAATAGGAGAGTTATCTTGACAGAAAACAAACTTACTTGACATACTTGTAATTCTCATTCTCTTACATGTCATTCTGTTGCCACTCAACATCCTCATCATCTCAGTGTTTGAAAGGTTCCTTATGAACTAGTTTTATTTTCAGTTTTTAATTAGCTTTTTGGGGGAAGCTGCCTACCACTTTGGATATATATTTCCAGACCACATATTTCTTCCTGCGTACTCAGCCATGTGGAGAGGAACAGTTTGTGTTTTGTTTTTATGTTTTTGTCATGGGTTCCAGACTGCTGCCTGGAGAAATTTACTAATCATGAAAGCATTTATACAAGTCTGCTAACATGCTAGCCCTGGGAGCTTGTGAAATCCTGTTCTTATGATTACCAACTTGATTTCTGTCAACTTCAGCTGCAACATTTTATTTATTTATTTATTTTTGTTTGTTTCTTTATTGTGCCATAATATTGTAGTTGCTTCCCAGAAAAGAAGGCATGATCCTTGGCCCAAGGAGCTCAACAGTTGACATCTCATGTAATATATATAACTATATGTAATGTTTAACTGTCAATACTTTACACTTCTTGAATGATGGTATTGTGAGGTGTCAGATAAAAAATTGGATTCTGTCTTTAACAATTCTCTGAAGGTAGTTGAACTCCCAGTTTCCAATAGTATTTGTTTCTGGAGTTTTGCTAAATTATAATTGATGCTCTCTGATTTTTATCTGATCAGCGGGCTACACAGTGGAATTTGCTGCAGCTTTTCAATAGAAGATAGCAGAAAAAATGATTTATTTTATCAAATAAATCTGCATTTTTACTATTTATGTTTTCCGAGACCCAGGGCATCTCTTTGGTCACCATATAAGGTTGAAAAGTATGGTTCGAAGGTGGTTACATTCTGTTTTATTTCTCCTGCTCCTCTGACACCTCTTTTGCATACAACTACTGTCAATTCAAATAAGAAATCTCCTTCAGGTAGGGGAAAACAGATCATTTATTTGTGGAGTTCAACATTGTTTAAGGCTGATAGACAGATATGCAGAAACAGAAAAAGAATAACCAGTCTTGAATAAACAACAGCCTTTATTGTAAATCCACTCAGCAAGGAAGCTTTGGACTTCTCTGCCACTCTAAGCAAAGGATTCATCCAAGCCACCCAAATGACTTTACCTTTTCCTTCAAGAAAACTTCTGTTGTTTTCCTTGGCAACTTGTATTTGGCTTTAATGTTTTCTGGAACTTGACAGTTAAATTTCACAATAATAATAATAATTAATAATTATGCTTTCCTCCAAAGATGACAGAAATGATGTTTTACAAACAATAATTCACAAAACATACTGTGAAATGGGAAATGTTCTGATCATTTTACAGATGGAAAAAGCAATACAGTGGCAGAGTTGGGAATAGAATCAGGAAACTAGGAGCCAAGATTCATGGATCTAATCTTGGGACCATACTCTTTACCATTAGGTTTTAAGGCCTTCGCTGATCATTTTAGTAGTGGATATAGTGTGGGTTCAAGACTGAACATAGTAACAAATGGGTAGTTTTCAGTCCTAGACTAATCCAAAATACATTAAATAAAATAATGAAATCCTCTTACACAATTCTCTGCTGAAGGAGTTTGAAAAGAAACGTAAGTTTTTCATTTAAGTAGGATTCCAGTTGTGATGTGGCAATGGCATTTCTGTGTAGTATCTGAAATAATTCATTACAAATTGTCTTTCTTATTAAAAAATGTTAAAATCATGCTGTTTGAATTTTCTTCATCTGAGTGTTGAATATGGCTAAATTTGGATGAGTCTAGTTATTGTTGCAATTATGATAGTATTTGTCCTTCAATAAACATTATTAATATATGTATTGTTTTGTGTTACAGGGGGTTCAGGACCATCATCTTCCATAGCCATAGCTGGAACCAGCCAACCTGCCATCACAAAGACCACATCCGTTCTTCAAGATGGTGTTATAGTCACTACTGCAGCTGGAAACCCACTTCCGAGCCAGCTGCCCATTGGGAGTGATTTCCCTTTTGTTGGCCACGAACACACACTTCACTTTCCACAGAACTGCGCTTCAAACAACAATCTTCCGCATTCTTTGAATCCAAACCTTCTCAATTCTCTACCTATCTCTTTGCCAGTGAATCAACAACATCTCTTAAACCAGAATCTATTAAATATACTACAGCCTTCAGCAGGAGAAGGCAAGTCTGAGGTCATACTCAACCCTTTAGGTTTACTCAACCCAAGTGTAAATGCTGCGCTAGCTTTTCTCTCCAGTGACATGGATGGGCAGGTATTACAACCTGCTCATTTTCAGCTTCTAGCAGCCCTACTTCAGAATCAAGCCCAAGCAGCTGCCATGCTTCCCCTACCATCTTTCAATTTGACCATCTCAGATTTGTTACAACAGCAAAATAACCCTTTACCCTCAGTAACACAGATGACAGCCCCACCAGACCATTTGCCAAGCAATCAGTCAGACAGCAACAGAGCAGAGACCCTTTTAACCAACCCCCTGGGGAACCCTATACCAAGCTTTACAGGCACTGACACTACTTCTAACCCCTTGCTCCTCCCAGCTGTCACTGGGGCCTCGGGATTAATGGCCTTAAATCCCCAGCTGTTGGGAGGTGTCCTGAACTCCGCATCGGGCAACACTGCTAATCATCCAGAGATATCCATAGCAACCTCCTCCCAGGCAACCACTACCACAACCACTACATCATCAGCAGTGACAGCACTGTCTGTCTCAACACTTGGTGGGACAGCAGTGGTGTCAATGGCAGAAACATTGCTGAACATATCTAATAATGCTGGGAATACATCTGGTCCAGCTAAACTCAACAATAACTCTGTGGTGCCACAGCTACTTAACCCTCTACTGGGGACAGGTCTGCTTGGTAAGTTAAATTTTTTCACAGATTTAAAAAAAAAAAGGTTGGGGGGAGAGTTTCTGATTCTATTTTCTATTATTAAAGACTCCATTTCATTGCACTATTTCTAAAAGGGTTTTGTATGTCACAGGTCATTGAATACTTCTAGAGAAAAACAACCATTACTGTCAGAAATTTTAAATAGCAATTTTTAAAAATTCAGCAATATTTAATACTGTTTTTGGATATAATTTTATTTTCCATTCCCTCATTCTGATGCCACCAAACCTACTACATACACTTAAATACAGTCAGGCAAATTTAACTCCTTTTATTTTTCATGTAACAAAAGCACAGGTGCATCTTTGGGATGCGGTGTTTTATTTCAAATATATGTGGCATCACAGGGTTAGTACGAGTAGCTGTGCGGTCCATTAAAAATGGCCAAGTGCATTTTTTCCATTTAAATTCAAAAATATGCCAAAACCATAGCACATGTCCTATATGTACATAAAGCACTCCAAGTAAAGCCTTGCACAAGTTCAGTGAAGTAGGTTGCCCCTTCTAGCCCTTGATTGTACATTTCTGTTTTCATATTTCTTTGTTTTTCATTTCTTCATTGTAGTTTAGAAACTGACGGTATCACACCTGACAAGTCCTTACATAACTGATGAACTCTTAAGCCTAAACTGTTCTCCTAAATCTCTAGTCTCTTGATGAATTTACTCAGAACATGTGATACTTTTTGTGTTCTGTGCTGTTTGGACTCAATAAGCAAATAACTATACCAGTAGGATGACCAAAATATTGTGTCAAAGAGCTGGAATGCATTGCAACTCTGTTACTTATGTCAAGCTACAACATTGTTACTGTGAACTCATCCCTACTTTTATAATATCATTTAATTTAGCATTAGGATTGTTACTGAATTAGGATTAATTTTTTTTTCTAAAATAAAATGTCTGTTGATTTTCATCAGCTGATTCCACAAGCATAAAATTTAGGAAAAACATTAGTTTGTGTTAACTCAAGAGCAAAATCCTCTTTCAGGCTTCTTTTATTTGATAATTTCATAGGATCAGGGGCCGCAAAGTATTTATTTTCCTATTGTTTGTGATATTGTTCTTTTACATTTTAATTTACTTAGGTGATTTTTCTTTTGATACAAAATGCAGATTTTTTTTAATTATAGCTTGTTTTTCCTTATGAGATTTTTCTCCTGTATCTAGAAAAGAGAGGACTAGTAGAGTTAGCTAGTGTATTTTTGTGTTCAAGAGGCCTTGGATCATTGTGTAGTCAAGTCAAACAGCAGTGCCATGGTTATCAAAAAGTTGGAGGAGGGGAGGATGTTGGTATGGTCTGAAGCAGTCGCTCTTTGGAAGCTAAGAATGGATTTCTAAGAAAATGAATACCACTGATGCTCATTCTACTGTACCTGGCTGTGTGCTATTCCATAATGAAAGACAGTCATGTCAGAATCCTTTAGAAAGAGTCCACATATAGATGTGAAAGAAAGAATGCTGAAGAAATGAAGGAATAAATAGTAGGAGACATGTTCCTTGAGATCGTGGTACAGAAGATGTCATGGGAAAAGTTTTGTTGTACAGAGAGTGTCAGTATTTGTTTACCATTCAGTTAAAATGTGACTCAAGGAAACTCTCACAGACTCTTGAAAACTATGCTCACTTACTTTTCCATATGTTTGGAATTGCAGGTGACATGTCGTCAATAAACACTACTTTGAATAACCATCAACTGACTCATCTCCAGTCACTGTTAAACAACAATCAGATGTTTCCTTCAAATCAGCAGCAACATCAGCTTCTCCAGGGGTACCAGAATATCCAGGGGTTTCAAGGTCAACCGACAATTCCTGGACCAGCTAACAACTCAAACCCCATGGCTTGTCTGTTTCAAAATTTTCAGGTAGAAAGCATACTGAAATCAATATTGAGTGAATTTAAAAATTTCTAATAGTACAATTGGTATCTATATTCTGCTTTTTCATTGAATGGTTAAAACAATTTGTTTTATTGCAGTTGGTTGCCCTTTTTTAGTATGGATTTTGTATTTCCAAATCAGAAACACATTACTGAAATTATATATCTTTTACTTATAAGTTTAGTGTCATTTTTATTTTATTGGAACTACTTATAATATGCATCTATTGACAGCTGTTATTAACTTTCAGGAGTTGTTAATTTGCTTTTAAAGTGTGATCATAAACTCCTGGTTGAGAATAAATTGTAGAGACTGAATGGTAAAAAGTTAACATACAGTAGTTGTCAGTAAGAGAAGCACCGAAAAGAGCATGGGTATTGAAAAATGTGCTTACTCTTCTTAGCAAACTCAGAGGAGGACACCTTCACAGCCAGCAAGCCATAATCTTTAGCCAGGTTCTACTAACCTGATCCTGAATAAGGAACGTACGATGTAGTAGAAAACAATAGCCCGATCCTCACTAATTATTTAGATGCAATAATGAATAAGTAATGTAGATATATTACAAAAGAATAGCACAAGCATGTAGGAACAAAAGGAGAGAGGCTAAGGCACAAATTGAGTTACATGTTGCAAGGGACATAAAAGGCAATAAGAAGAGACTTTATAAGTACATTAAGAGCAAGAGAGAGACTACGAAAATGTAGGTTCCCTACTTAGTGGAGAAGGAGAGCTAATAACTGATTGGTCCTGCTTTGAGCAGGGGGTTGGACTAGATGACCACCTGAGGTCCCTTCCAATCCTGATATTCTATGATTCTAATAGGAAATAGGAGGTGATTGTGAGTAACTGACTTTTTCTAATAGTGCCCATTAAAGTAAATGGAAGGACTACCATTGATTTAGGGGATGTTGGATCAGGCCCATAGTGATTAGGACAGACATATAATAAAAAAAATGTTTAAACGATATCTCCCTTTCACATTTCCATCCAAACAGACAATTCTATTGATAATGTAAATTCAGACGTTAAAGTAACAGAATGACAGTGAAAGTATCAACTGAGATAGAGAACAAAAATAGAGTTACAGTGTGTACTTAACATTATTATAGTGCTGCAGAACTGAGAACATGAAGGCAGCAGAAATGCAGGTGATAGTGCCAGAAAAGCTTTTATTCTTTAAGAAAAAAAAAGACAACATATCATTTTGTCAGTCTAGACAACTAGAAATGTCCCCGTGTTTGCAAAATCACAGTAATCATTAGCTGTATCTTATATTTTCTCTTTGTGTCCTGAATTATGTAAGTGTTTAGTAATGGTAAGTATTTAAAGCAGTAGTTACAAATATTTGGCTTCACTAGTTAAAGCATCTTTTCTATTCAGACTTTCACAAGTATTAATATTGCTTATTATCTTTACTTCATTCTCATGACATGTACATGACAAATACAAACATAATATGCAAGGTTCCTCAAAATGTAATTAAGTTTATAATAGTGCATGAAATAATAGCTACAATGCAAAGAGTTGGCGACATGGTTGATGTGGGATAAAAGTAGGAAGACTTCCCAAAAGAAGTGTATAAGAAGGGAAAAGTAAGGTCACTTGCACATGACAAATAGGAGGCAGTTTCAAGCCTGTGGGTTGCATTCAAGAAAATACAAAGCAGGGTGTGGGTAGAGACAAAAAGAGCACTTAAGAGTGAAACTGGGGAGGAAAGTAGAGACTGAGGGAGGAATAGGAGGAAATAGATTTGGGTACCGTGATATGAGCATGGATTAAGTTGTTTAGGACTTTTAATGTAAGAATGACTTCATTCAGAAAAGGAGAGCACTCAGAAAGATGGGTGGAAATGTGGCTACAAAAGGAGAGATTTGAAAGTTTTATCATCTCAAATACCACCTGTTATTACAAAGCTTTGCCTTTTTGAACAAAGTGTGAAAGCTAGTGTTATGTGTTCATATGCATATTATTTTATGCTTTGAGTTGTCTTTTCATTTTATGATTCTCTTCATTGAGTGACAATCTTTGTCACTTATGTATAGGGCCCTACCAAATTCATGGCCATGAAAAACATGTCTCACACCATGACATTTGGCTATTGTGTGGGGTTGTGATATTGCCACCCTTGCTTCTGTGTTGCCTTCAGAGCTGGGCGGCAGGAGAGCAGAGGCTGCTGGCTAGGGACTCAGCTCTGAAGGCAGTGCCACTGCCAGCAGCAGCTGTAGGGAAGGTGGCATGGAATATACTGTATGAACACATCTGCGCAATTTTTCTGATTATGCCAATCAGAGAAAAACATGTGATTTCTCCACGATTTAAGTAGCCCTCTGCTTATGTACAACGATGACAAAATGTGTCATTGTTGTGTAACCATCACAGTTACTGAATTAAATGAATGTGTCTTCTGAAATATAGCATTCAATGAAAACATACATTTCTATAATTTTTCCTTCCTATTTTTAAGGTGAGAATGCAGGAAGATGCTGCTCTTTTAAACAAAAGAATGATCACTCAAATGGGTATAACATCAGTTCCTGAGAGTTCCAACACTACCCTTCCTCCTTTTCAAGATACAGCTTGTGATTTGCAGCAAAGGACTGAACCAACTCTAAGACAACAGGCAAAGGATGGCCTCAGTGTAGCTGCTCAGGGTGATTCTTCAGTCGATGCTATCTACAAAGCAGTCGTAGATGCTGCAAGCAAAGGAATGCAAGTAGTAATCACCACTGCAGTTAGCAGTACAACACAAATGAGTCCTATTCCAGCTCTGAGTGCCATGAGTGCCTTCACAGCCTCAATTGGTGACCCATTAAATCTTTCTAGTGCTGTCAGTGCAGTAATCCATGGAAGAAACATTGGTGTTTCTGATCACGATGGTAGGATAAGAAACACTAGAGGGGCACGAATACTGAAGAATTCAGAACACAGTAAAAATTCAAGTGAAGGGGATGGATTTGAATATTACAAGTCAGCAGGTTGCAACACACCCAGAAAACAGTGGGAAGAGGAGCAAAACCCTGGAGGAGAGATAAATAGGTGGAAGTGTGAGGAGTTTTTAGACCATTCAACCCATGTCCACAGCAGTCCTTGCCATGAAAGGCCCAATAACGTCTCCACACTGCCATTGTTACAGGGTGAGCAGCATCAGATACTGTTACCACAGAGAAACTGTCAAAGTGATAAAATGTTGGAGGAGCATTTCAGGTATAACAATTACAAAAGAACTATGATGAGTTTTAAAGAGAGACTGGAGAACACTGTGGAAACATGTGCACACATAAATGGAAATAGGCTTCAACAAAGTAGAGGGTTTGGAGAGTTGCTGAACACTTCTAAACAAGACCTAGTCATGGAGGAGCAATCTCCAAGTTCCTCAAATAGTTTGGAAAGTTCTCTAGTTAAAGACTATATCCATTATAATGGAGACTTTAATGCCAAAAGCATTAATGGGTGCGTGCCTAGCCCTTCAGATGCTAAAAGCATCAGCAGTGAAGATGACCTAAGGAATCCAGATTCCCCTTCTTCAAATGAGTTGATACATTACAGGCCGAGGACGTTTAATGTTGGTGACTTGGTCTGGGGCCAAATAAAAGGACTAACTTCATGGCCTGGAAAATTAATAAGAGAAGAAGAAGTTCACAATTCATGTCAACAAAACACTGAGGAGGGGAAGGTATATAAACACACGCATATATATTTTGTGTATATATATATATATATATATATGTATATATAGTCAAAGAATTATCTTGGTCTAATATTTATTTTGGGGTTCTGTTCTTATTTTAATGGTATGAATTTGGTATTTTAATTGGGCTTTTGATCCCTGGTTCATGAGGATAGCTTATGAAACTATTTATTTCACTAAAAATATTGTTGTAGTTGCACAATGGAAACTTATACAAATCCCATAAGGAAACATATTAGGCTGTATTCTGGCCTGAATTATGTCCTGCTAAGTCACTTGTTCACATAAGACTTTTATTATACAAAAAATATTTTGCTTTAATGCACCATTGTTTAACTTATGATTTAGAGCCTTCTGAACTTCTGGCTGTGCCTAAGGTTACTGACTTGATGTGCAAGGCATGAGTTGGGTATCTACAAATGGCAGAAATTGCAAAATGTAAAGCTGATCTAACCAAAATAAGGAATTTGAAATAAGTTAAAGCAGTTTCACCCTATCTCTGACTTGCCCAACTGATACTTCTGGTATGCAGCAGAAAAACTATTAAAAAAATTTGGCCTGGACAATAGAACATGTAAGATCCTTTTCTAGTGATAGTGGTTTTAGTTTGCTCCTTTGAGCATTAGTTTAATGTCCCCTAGCACAAGGTATAATGTTGGCAGGGAATTCTTATTGTTACCAATGACTTAACCGTGTATTCTGTTTTATTAAGGAAACTATTTCAATCCTTATTTTCTACTGTTTGCAAAACTTTTTGTTTTTCTGCAGTCCTCATAAATACAAAACTATTTCATACTGTATGCCCCTCCCCATCCTGAGCCACTGCAGAAACCACTCAGACTCCCTTCTTTTAGTGTCCACTCTGTGTAATTTATTCAAGTCCTCTTCACCAGCACTTGTACTTGCAGTATAGTAATTCTATTACCTATGACCCTGTTGCCTTTAGCCCCTGTTCATCAGGGCCCTTGGAGGAAAAGGGATCTCCCTTCCTGGGGAACTCCTTCAGTCTGGGCTCAGCTAGCCTTGTCCTCCCTCCTCTGACCCTTCATTTCTTTTATCAAGCTATTGTGCTGATGAGCTAGTTAGTTCCTTAACTCACCCACCACCCCCGTGTCTGATTAGCTAATTCCTCCTTATTCCCTCAATCAACCATCGCCAGAGAAACTAATTGAGTCAGAGTATTGACCCATCTGTTAGGCCTCCTCACTGTCTCTCACACACATTCATTATATAATAAAAAATATTTTACTAAACATTCATTCAGGAAATAATACTGCTAGTATCTTTAAATTAACAAATCAAAATCTAGGTAAAGAGTTTTTAATTTCTGACATTAAGAAATTAATCCAAAAACTATTATCGATTTTCATGCCCCCATCTAATTTACTTCAGTTGAAACTATGATAGAAACTATCATAGTTAAGCACAGTTGATCCTACTGCTAGTAGGATTTCTCTAACCAGATTGTACATGGATTTTTCCTCTCAAACTGTTATAGTCGTGTTATGAAACTGTTATAAATTGTCTGGGATGGTTTGGCTAGCATGGTTTTAGCCAAAGCTTCTCATTCTTCAGATGGCTTGTTCATTGTTCTCTGCTCCCCACATAGGTTTTGAAGAGATGCACACTGATCTTCAGAACAAGATTATATACTTCAAATAAATGAACTTGTTTTAACAATTATAATTCAATAAATAAGAACTTACTCAGCCACAAAGTTAGATCCCAAAATCACTAGCCCATTTTGAAAATGTAAGCCTAATTTTTCAAATATTGTTGACCACATACTTCAAAAGAAAAGGAAAAAATAAGTGGGAAATGAGGGAGAGGAGAGTATGGTACTCTCCATCCGAGTTCTGCTGTGGTGCCACTCAGTACCTTTATGAACGTTATAGTACTAAAGAACACATTATTCAAAATACATCGATGTCCAATATTTATTTATTTGATAACTTCACAACAGTAATTATGTGTTCCTTTTTGTAAGATTGTTTCAGTAAATTTTTAAGAAGTTGCTCTTTGTACCCTTTATAAACAGAGGAAGATCTATATGTCATCAGTTGCATTCCTTAAGAGTACTGCATCAATTAGCTGAACAATATCAAAAGTTAATTTCTTATCTACCAAAAGTATATTTGTTTTTATGCAGGCCTCAGTGCTTTCCATTTTGTTTTTCTTAGATTTTTTTTTACTTTATTGCACATTATTATATTAATTGACTTGAAATATAATGTATGCAGAAGCCCAAACAAAATTAATGAAAATTGCATATGTTGCTGAATACCTTCTAAACTGTTTCTATGTAGTTCAAAATTTTGCTGCTCCCAGAATGTTGTCAACAGGGCCGGCTCCAGGCACCAGCCCAGCAAGCAGGTGCTTGGGGCGGCACGTCGGGCTCTTCGGCGGCAATTCGGCGGCGGGTCCTACGGTCCCTCTCAGAGGGAAGGACCTGCCACCGAATTGCCGCCAAAGAAGAAAGCGGTGCGGTGGAGCCGATCGCGATCGCGGCTTTTTTTTTTCCCGCCGCTTGGGGCGGCAAAAACCCTGGAGCCAGCCCTGGTTGTCAAGGCAGCTCATATCCCTGCTAAGAGAGAGTCTGTCCCACTGTTTGTCAACAAGCACTATGGCTGACTAACGAAGCTTTGGATCAGAAGGCCCTCCATCTTTCAGAAGGATGTTATGTATTTAGCCTCCCCAGCTGGAAAGATGGTGTAAATGGCAGTTAGAAGGATAGGATAGGGATTGAGATTGAATACTGGAGCGTAGAGGAATGTGAAAGACAGAAGAGAAGACTTAAATAGAAAAATGACTTACATCTTCCCATTTCAGGGTGAAAATAGAGAGGAACTCTGATGTTCATAATCGCATTTCTCGTTCTTTTGTGCATTTGACCAACCACTTCTATAAGCTGCTGCACAGCCACATATTTTGAATGTTTTGACAGTTTAGTGTGAAGCCAGCAAAGTCAACTCATTTTGCAGTGCAAAAGATCTTCAGGAATGATGTGCACCAAGAAATCCTGGAATTATGGAACTCTTAATATGGTTCCCTATTAGTAGTTTTGAAAATTTATTGTATGAGGAACATTTAAATTATCTTTATACGCATTTGTATTTATGGTATGTTAATTTTTTCACGCTATGGCAATAGTTTTGCTATGTTGCAAAGAGTTCTGTTGTATATTACGTAGAAAATGCCTGTTTGACTTGACTTCCATTTATAACACTATTTTACTACTTTTAAAGGGATACATATGGAGTGGCATTTTTTTCATCTGTTTCTATTCAAATAGCAACTGGAAGCTTTTGGATGGTGTTCCTCTATCAGGAAAGAAGGAATGTTAACCAAAGTTTTCTGTTTTGTTTTGGGCAATTGGAAAATTAAGGAGCAAACTGAAGAAAGTGCAGTGGGAGCAGCAAAACCATCTAGATAGGGGAAATAAAGGAATGATCATGTAGATTAGGTTACTAGTGTCTGAGAAAAACAAAGGAAGTGGAAAGCAAAAGAAGATGTCAGCAGAATAAGAATGAAAGTGAGAAAAGAGAAAAAAACTTTGCTGAGAAATCCACCTGAAAAGATCATGCTGCTGGCTGTCTCATGTTGCACTGATGGTCTAAATAGGCTTGAATATACAATTTAGAACTTTTCTTTATGCCTGATGAGTAACATCTTATCACTAAGGCAGCACGAAGCTGCTTTGCAATATGAGGTTACTGACACAACTGCCAGAATAGGTCATTCTCATACACAGGACATTCATTGTTCTGAAAAGAACTATTGTGCTGGCCAGGCTCACACACCATTATTCTATCATATGATGATTTGCATAGTGGAAGGTTCCTTCTAGAGCTTGGGGAGGCGGGATGGGCGTGGAATATTGAATTAGGTCTTTTAAAAAAGGATTACAGTACCATCCCAGTGAGCCACTGCTAATACAGTTCCTGCACTGGTGCAGGGCAGAGTTTGATTCTCAATTCTGATTTTTTCTCTCAAACCCAATTAGGCCAGGAGCATGGTGTAAGCTGCATGCACAGCCAGTGACAGGAGGGTGTGGTTTTCACTAAATAGTTAAAGGGCAGTGATGAAGAATGTCAAAGTGAGTGCTTCCAGACCTAAACAGGAAGGATGATTTTCAGAACAGGAGGGTAAAAACAAAACAGCTCATGGGATCTAAAACTTGTTTGAATGTAGAAAATCACCCACTTTCCACCTAAAAGTCTGGGTGTAAACAATAGCTAGCCCTATGGTAGTGATTTGAAGAAATCCAGAATTGAATTTGATATTGACGTTACTACAGGATGAAGATGGTTTACTGTGTTAGGACTCTCAGCTGCTTAGGCTCTAGACAAGCTCAAAAGCTTATCTCTCTCACTAACAGAAGTTGGTCCAATAAAAGACATTACCTCACCCACCTTGTCTCTCTAGGCTCTAGATTCGTGTTTCTGACCTGAGTTTGACTAAGGCAGGATGTAATCAACCAAATAGTTAATTGGAGTGGGCCAGATTTAATGTCATCTGGCATAAAAAAAATAGAATCCAACAAAGTGTTTCAAAATTTGAATTACTGTGTAATAGTCTATGCCAACATACCAGGATAATAATCAACCTGTCTTAAATGCCTTATTGCTTAAATACTACCGTAATTTATTCTGTTTCAGATTACTTTCAAGTTCTTTGCTAATAAGTATTTGACAGTGAAATGTTTGCAGTCTCAAAGAGCAGAGGTTTTTAAAAGCTATTTATTGGAACTTTCTAGGAAATTCAGTTTACTGATCATCGTAAAAGCTTTGTACAAAACTGTTTGATCTGCTGTTAGGCTATCATAAATATTTTCCCACAGATGTGTACAATGCTTGATTTTTAGAGGGGCTGAGCTCTCCCAGCTCCAACTGAAGTCAATAGATGTGATTTCTCAGAACATATTGTTTACTAATGTAAATGGTTATTTCAAGGTAAAGGTATCTGACACTAATAACTTTCTTTCC